GTCTCTCGAATGTAGTCCCCAAGTCCTCCCGGTCATAAAGACACGGGCCTGATACTCAGTTCAAGTATCCAAACCTCACGTCGCAATCTGTCACATTTTCATAAAAACCTTACTCACGAGCAACTACATAGAGGAAAGTACACGAATCCTAAACGTGGACTTGAATGCAATTTCGTAAAGTGAACACACATGCGCACCCACACACACATGTGCACCCACACACGTGCAGCACCCACATGGGGAGGCAGAGCAGGAACAAAAGCCCGAGGCTCCTGCACCTGCCCGTCTTTCCCTGTCCCCCCTCCCCGGGGTGGGAGGGGGAGGGGAGCAGCATGTATAAATTGGGTTTGGCTTCAAGTCTTTGTGTGCCTGTGCCTGGATTCGCAGCTTCCCTCCCTCTCTGGTTCTGCGTTAGGTACAAGATGACTAACTCAAGATAAACACTGGAGGGGTACCACGTGGTGCCTGGCATCACGGCTGACATTGTCGGGGGTCCAGGGACAGTGAAGGCGCTGCTGTTGGTCTCGGGGAGGAAAGGCGCCCTGTGCTACAAAGCCAGCGCTTACGTAGTTTATCCACAAGAGCTGGGGCTCAGTCCACCAGGTTCCATCAGAAGCAGCTTCGCGGTTCCCAGCTCTGTTGGAAGGAGGATAGGATTTTGGAACTTGGCAGGGCTGTGTGGCGGGAGGCAGGGGGTGGGGGAGACATGGAGAGAAGAGGCGTGGGGACCATTGCTCAGAGCCTTGCCGAAGCCTCCGACCACACGTTAGATCCAGGGCACAGCACCAGGGTCCCGCGGGGGCTCTCTCAGCGTTTGAGAAGATTCACGAAGGGCAGAAGGGTGAACCGAGCGGGGAGGGCAGCAACCTGCTCAGGGGAAAGTTCTCTGCAAACAGGACCCCCCTCCGTCTGAGCGCTGGATGCGGGCAGCACTGAGCCCCCGGGGTCCCTACTGGCTCTGCCGTCCTCTGGGTTAGGAAAAAAGAGGACTGCTTTGGAAGGGCCCACGAAGGGGATGAGGGGCACCCTGTGTGGACAGGCGTGGAGCGGACATTCAGGGGTCAGGAGCCCGCCCATCTGGCTGCTGGGCAGGAACAGCAGGGAAGTAACAGTGGATGGACGCAATCATCCTCCTGGTGCCTCCCTGGCCTGTCTCCTGGCTCCTCCTGCCAGCTCACTGCATGATAGCTGAGCTTGGGGCTGGACTGGCAAGGGGGAGGTCCCAGGACATCCTGGCAGAGCAGGAGTGGTCAGTGGTCGGGAGACTGCACGGCTTGCGAGCCCCAGAGGGTGAGGAATGGCAAAGGAAGGTGAGAGCAAGGGGCCGGGTGTGGAGTCCAGAAAAACCAAGAGCTGGGAGTTGAAGCTGGCTGGGGACAGGTAAGTGAGAGGCTGGACCCGGGCACGGGTGCTGGGGACCCTGGACCTCTCTGTTCCATGACTCCCTTAGCTGTCCAAGATGCCTGGGTCACTTCCCCTGAACGTGCGAAGCAGCGGGGACTACAAGACAGGAAACCACAAAGGAATAGCTAACAAAAACCGAGTCGGCAACAACAGCTCTACGTGTGCGTCTTTGTTAATCTGGTAAATAATGGGATCTAGCAGGAGACATCATGAATATCTCATCCTTTAAACGAGACGCGCGCGGGAATACTATCGTACACTGTCTGCAGCAGCGGCTGTGTGCCGGGGACAAGGTCACAGGCGGGGGTCATGCTCCAGGAGATGTTCAGTTGTAGGCAGAGGTTGCTAAAATGAAGCTGTGATTGTTTTCCAAGACCATGAAGCTCTCAAACTCGCTTACCAGGAACTCCAACTTCATCCAGCCACTGAGGGCCAGAATTCAGATTCCTGGGCATGGCCTGCGAATGCAAGGAAAATTTCCCACCTGACCCACACGCCAGTTCTCAGCGGGATGCCCCAAGCCTCAGAAACCTCTTTGAGGGCTACAGAAATGGAGACCCCGTGTTCCCCAGCCCGTGCCCTCTCTCTTCTGCGGCTGTCTTCAGCGAGCCCTCTGACACTTGCTCTCCTTGTCAACATGTGCCCCGTGCATCATCGGCTGTCACCTGCCACCCCGAACACCACCTTCTTTCCTCGCTCTGAAATGTCAGTCCCATCACCCCCGCTCTGTTTACTTTCTCTGGATGCCTCTGATCCCGCCCCTGTGGCCGGGCAGCTGTCCTGTATAAACAAACAGATCTGCATGTCCCCTGAGCTATCCCTGGCTTGCATAGACACAGGGCACGTGGCTCACATCTGAAGGCAAATCTCAGGCAGCAACCCCAGCCTACAGGCTGGATGCTGGGGTGCCCTGACTGTCAAGGGTTTCCTCCTGGCGCCTGACAGTGCGCTGAGTCGGGGCTGGAAATCAACACAGGTGAGTGAATGTGCAGGATCGCATCTATTTGTAATGAGGGCTGTACAAGACTTTGGAAAGACGGGGCTGGCGCCGTGGCTCACTGGTTAATCCTCTGCCTGCGGCGCCGGCATCCCATATGGGTGCCGGGTTCTGGTCCCGGTTGCTTCTCTTCCAGTCCAGCTCTCTGCTGTGGCCCGGGAGGGCAGTGGAGGATGGCCCAAGTGCTTGGGCCCCGCACTCGCATGGAAGACCAGGAAGAAGCACCTGGCTCCTGGCTTCGGATTGGCGGCCATTTAGAGAGTGAACCAACAGAAGGAAGACCTTTCTCTCTGTCTCTCTCTCTCTCTCTCACTGTCTATAACTCTACCTGTCAAATAAATTAAAAAAAATATATTTCGGTGCTTATTTCCTTCCCTGGGAAGGTGATATTTCAACAGAAAGACCTAGAGGGGAAGAAGGAGCCATCTGTAGGAAAAGTCAGGGAAAAACCCAAGGGGGGGGGCAAGAGAGACCTTGGTGTCTTTTAAGAATCACCACAAATCTGGGGAGGAGTCCGTAGGTGAAGGGAATACAGGCAGGAGCTTGGCTACAGAGGCAGACACCTGCTGCACCAGGCGGCTGGGAGTGGAGAGGAGCAGCTTAGTAACAGCTCAGACTTGGGGTCAGTGCCGCCGTGGCGTAGCAGGTAAAGCCGCCGACATCCCCTACGGGTGCCGGTTCAAGTCCCGGCTGCTCCACTTCCGATCCAGCTCCCTGCTAATGCACCTGGGAAAGCAGCGGAAGATGGCCCAAGTGCTTGGGCCCCTGCACCCACATGGGAGAGCCAGAAGAAGCTCCTGGCCCCTGGCTGCGGATCTGCCCAGCTATGGCCATTGCGGAGTGAAGCAGCAGATGGAAGACCTCTTTCTCTCTCTCTGTCTTTCTGTTTCTCTCTCTCTCTCTGTGTATGTGTGTGTGTCTGTCTGTCTCTCTGTAACTCTGCCCTTCAAATAAATGAATAAATCTTAAAAAAAAATAGCAGAGACTTGAGAACCAGCCCCGCTCAGCCAGGGTCTGGCTCAGACTCCTCGGGCTGTGTGGACTGGGGCGAGTCTCCTTGTCTGAGCTTGGGTCTCCTCTGCAAAGTCAGTCACCATCTGGCTCCTCCGAGGGTGGGTACACACAGCAGTGCATGCAAGGTCTGGCACGGATCGTGCACTATGTCCCTGTTTGCTGTGACTTCTTCCAATGGCAAATTGTAGCAGATTCCGATAGGGGAGAGACACAGTCTGGTTTGTCTTGAACAGATTCCCAGCCATCGTGTGGGCTGCTGGTTGTCAATCAGACCAAGAACTGGGAGGGCGCCCAGAGGTTGTGGACACCCAGTGCTGCCCAGTTGTTCTCTCGAGGGGGGGAGGGGCAGGGCCTGGAGGGTCACGGTGGGAGGTGAGAGGGTCACGGTGGGAGGTGAGACAGCTGTCTGCAGGTGCACTGAGCAGGGGAGGAGGCAGCTGGCCCAGCTTCCAGAGAAGGGCTCGTCCCACCCCCAGCTGAGAGCCCACTACTCCCCCTCCCAGATGGTGCCAGGCCCCACATCCTGCTGCCCAGCCGGCTCCCAGTTGGCCAATGTCAGTGTCGCTCTTTCTGGATTTTAAGTGCCCAAAGACAGCAGCCATTTCCTTGCCACTCTCACTGTGCAGCGACTGTCACAGGCCCCACACCAGTGCGTCCTGCGAGCTTTTGAATAATTGATCGTGAGAAGGAAGGGGGAGCAGAGCGCTGTGGTGCCTCTCCCAGAACTACAGGGTCCACAAGGCGTCTGCACAGGTCCTCACGTCACTCCAGCCGGACACTGCTCCCCATGTCACCCCAAGCCCATTCTGCACCCCCACACTTTGGGAATGTGCCTCGGGGGGTCACGCAGGAGAAACCTTGTCAAACCTCCGCCCCAGGCCCTTTCTGCTGCCCCCTTTCCTCCCCAGGGACCTCTGGGGACAGCAGATGCCTGCCCAGGGAAAAGCCCTCCTGTGACCTGGGCCAGCTTCAGAGACATTTGAGAGGGGGGGCCACAGCAACCCCTCTGGCTGGCTGGAGCTGAGGGCTGCTGGGGGCAGGGAGGGGGCAGGATGCAGCTGCCTCTCCAGACCCCAGGTGGCCCCTGTCCAACCGCCCCCTGGCTCCCAGCACCCACAGGGACAGAAGGCACCTACCCTCGGGGTGGGGGAGGTGCCCCCTTCTCCCCTGTGTTTTACACCAGCCCCACAATTACCGCCTCCCTCTCACAGGCTCCCTCCTCTCGCCCCCTAATTCTACAGGCTTCTCATTTTCCACAATTCCTGTTCCAGTGACCCCTCCCCAGCTTCCTGGGGCCCCTCCAGGACGCTCCTGAGTGTCCCTTCCCCTCCCGGCCTCCATTCCGGTCCAAATCCCCCTTCCCATACCCTCCCCTTTAACCCTCCTGCTGTTGCCCCCACTCCTCTCCTAGGCCCCGCAGTCCCACCCGCCCACCTCCCTGCCTCCCCTACCCCTGAAGCACATGCGCGGTCTCCCTCCCCGTCAAGCTCTGTGGCGCAAAGAAGGACGGCGCCACCTCCCACGACCCCGCAGCCCCCCCGCGACCCCGCTGCGCCCCCTCTGGGAGGGCGCCGCGCCAGCTCACCTGTTGGACTGGTCTGAGCACTCCCGGCTTTGCCTTCTCGGGGTCGGGGTCCCGGTCCCGCGACAACAGCCCCTTCTTGGGGTGCAAGTGCCTGCACAGGCAGGTAACCCCGCACAGCGCGAGGATGCTAGTGGCGGTGCCCAGCGTGGCGCCCAGCGCAATCACCGGCACCGAAAGCACCATGGTGCCGGCTGCCCGCGGGGCTCGGTCCTGCAGCCGCGCACCTGCCCCGGCAGGGCCCGCCGCCCGCCGCCAGGCAGCTGCGGGATCCGAGTGAGCGCGACTCTCCCGCCGCCAGAGAGGCGGGGGAAGGAGCGAGGGTGGGGGCACGGCTGCGAGGACGTCAGAGGAGGAGGCTGGCCAGCAACCCCCGCTCCGCCAACACGTGACCGTGCCGGCGTCCCCACCCGTGCGCAGGGGACCTGAGGGCTGGCTCAGGCGGCTCTCCTTGCTTAGCGCACACACGGGGCCGTGGGGGCCGGCGGCGGTCTCGCTCCCTGAGCCAGCAAACCAGGGCTGGGACTCAGGCCTGAGACTCCCTACCAGGCTGCTAACCCTGTCTCAGCCTCTCCCTCAGGGGCTGTGAACTTGGGTCCTCCAGGAGCTTGTCAAACAGTCACAGGATGGTCGCGAGCCCCCACCTCTTGACGATGGCAGGTGTTTCCAATGCAGGAGAGAGACTGGGGGGGTGGGGCACAGGTAGAGGCAAGGGTTGCAGCCGCGGGGTTTGGACTGTCCCCCTGTCCCGTGAAGACGACCACGATGATTCTGTGCACATTTGAGGCCCGCTGAGCGGCTTGGCACTGATGGTGGCTCGTGTTCAGTGCCTGGTGTCATCTGCAGTTTGTTCTCCGCCCTGGATAAAGGCGAGAAAGCTGAGGCTCAGTGAGGATGTGGGCGTAGCCAGAAAAAGCCTCGTCCTGACCCAGAACTCAAGTTTGCAGCCCAGATTCCGGGTCTGGGTACAACAGAAGGACTTCACCCTGCAGCGCGCCACCCGGGAGTACCCACTTGACTCAGAGAGCGGGTGTGCTTAGAGTCAGGGGAAACCGGACCGCAGGTGTGAGGAAGTCCGTCTTAGACCAAGAAAACGGCGACTGCCCTCCACCCTGAGGGCTTTCATTATGTGGAAACGTTTGCTCTCAGTCAGCTGACACGAGGTGAGCTGGGCGTGTGCGAGAAGGGATATGCAGATCTCATCCACAGTCGGCTTTCGCTTTCCCATGAAGCTGATCAGAGTCCCAAATCTCCCAGCAGATGCTCTTCTGCTAAACTGCCTGGTACCCGCTCCCTCCAGTGTTCAGGTGTCTACACCTACACACCCCCACCCCCATAGCTGATAGTTTTGGACTGCTCTGTTTATTACCTATGGTGACCCTGTGAGTTGACTGGGCTCAGCTGGGTGGTTTTCCTGCTCAGCGTGCCGTATTCTGGGACAGCAGTCATGTGGGGGTCAGGCTGGCTGGATACTCACATGGCAAGTGTACAGTGCTGGCTGCCGCTGGGAACATGACTGGGCCATCAGCAGGTGCTCTTTGGGCCTCCTGCACATCACCTCTCCCAGTGGCTGGAGCATCCCTCTGCACGGTGACCAGGGTCCAAGAGGAAGGATGCAACATTGCCGGTTCTCTGAAGGCCTAGGTCCCAGAGTTCTAGGACATCATGTCTCTAGCTCTTTCCCTAGTGGGCATCAAAGAGAGATTTCTGGAATGCACAGTGGACCCTGTCCAAGCCTGACAACCTTCAAGGGTTCTCCAGGAAAAAGTGCAAGAGACAACAGCTCCAAAGCCCTCTGGGAGGTGGTCCCCGTGAGTCCCGCCACACTCCTCGCTACACACTGCCCAACATGCCCTGCCCTGCAGCTACTCCCAGACAGCTGGGGTCCTCGGCGAGCGCCCACCCTCAGGGCCTCCGTGGCATCTCTCGCGGGAGCATGCAGCTGTCACTCAGTAACTGTTGAGTGATCCACACGATCATCTCGTGCAGGAATTCCTCTGGCTTGGGAGAAATCTCATTTTCCATGTAAGTGCCATTTTATTAAACTAGCTCTTCTACAAGTATTAATTGTGTGCCTACTGTATGCCAGGCATATTTCCCTACTGAGCCCCATTTGCCACCAGCTGTGGAGCAGGAGTGCCTCAGTTCCCGGTGTGAGACGTGGCGCGCTTTCTCATAAAAACTTCCCTGGGAGATTTTCCTGGCTCTCGGGCCCGGCTATGCAGAATGTTCTGGGGGGAAATCAGAGATTTAATTAATGCTGCCGCTCCAGATCCTCCCTGGCTGACTTGCTTCCCCCGAGACCCTTGATGCCACCACTCTGAGCAGAATCCAGGGTAGGGATGCTGAATATCAGAAAATGCCTGATGGGAATCAGACACCTGTCATGTGGTCCCTGGTTACCATGGTTACCAGGAGGCTATTAGCAGCAGGAAGAGAGAGCCCAGCCCTTGACCTCTCTCTCGCACACAATGCTCCTGGGGCAGAGCCAGGAAGACAACCCAGGAGATCTCTGAGAGCCGGCTGAAGCATCAGGACCCTGGGCTGCCTTTGCTACCCAAGTTCTCATCAAATATCCGACATTTGCTTCCTGGTTTCTGATAAGCAGGTGCGACCTGCAGTGCCGAAGATAAGGCGCTGCTGGATTCCTTTGAGAAGACAAGGCTGTGTATTTCGAGAAAAAGTGATTGACAGAGTCAGTAAAAGTAGAACAGCTAGACAGTCTGAGGCGGAAGCCTGGAACTAATTGGGGAGGTTGGGGGGCTGTCGGGAAGCCCGGGGCACACGGGGCAAGACACGGGGAGGGGAGCGTCTGTAAGGTGGGGATGGGAGGCAGACTTCCACGGGCTCCCCAGCCTCTTGATGAGATGTCACCACTGTTATTGGGATGGACATTGTACCTTTTGAGTGTTTAAATATTCGAAGGAATCTCTCTGAATGGCTAAGCTATTAAAAATGCTTTTATTAGAGGGGACGTGGTTTGAGAAGTGCGTCGTGAGGTAGCTTCAACATCATGTGAACATCTCAGAGGACACAGATGCACAGCTGCATGGTACAGGCGGCTGCCTCCACGCGGCCTTTCTCCAGACAGTCAAGAGACCAGATAACTGAGGGATGCAGGAGATGGCCACGGCTGTACCCTGACACCCTATTTGACAGTCTTGACAGTCGATCTTTTTATGCAGATCGAAGAGGTACATTTTAAAATTCCCACCCAAAGTAACACAGTCAAACACACAGCCCAGTAAAACATATAGAATAATAAAAACACAGAAGCCGGTAACCTGTATACAATGCTAAGCACCAGAGTTGCAAACAACTGGCAGAGCAGAAGGTGTGTTTAAGCCGACATCAGCATGAACAGGTGAGTAACCTGGCACTAAGAGGCCACAGTGGTCCCAGCGTCGCCAGGCAGCAGGAACTGTTCAGCCCTGCGCAGGTGCTGTGCCGTTGAGAAGCCGTCAGGTGGCCTGTAACTGTGTAGATGATTCTCTTACGTAGCCAACATTTGTGGCGCCAGCATATGGTACCCGGCAGGGGGAAGGAAAATACGCAAGTACAGTGACAGCATATTGGCCCTGGAGGGAATTGGGACCCAAGAGACTGCGGCTTGCCCGGAGGGTGAGAGTTAAAGACACAGTTGGGTACAGGTTCTTCCTCCGACTAAGCTCCAAGAGACTTGTTGACTCCCCTGGAGAGATCTGCTCCAGCCGATCCCTCCCCCGGGGGGACCTGGGCTTTCCCTGCTGTTTCCAGCCTTCAGAGGAGGCGAGGAAGTGCGCTGAAGACCACTTTAGAGGTCACGGCTAGAACGAGAGTCTCACATGGAGCGCCCCATTCCATGGGCTCGGATTTAGTACAGGACCCGCAGGCAGCCAGGGAGGCTGGGAAGTGCAGAGGAGAACGAGCAGGGGCACGGGCAGAAGCTGAGCTTAGGGCTGCAGGCCAGTGCGTAGTCCTCTCCTCCAGTCTCCCCGATGTGAGTTTCTACCGCCAGGCACTGAGCCCAGTGACGGAGCAGAGATAGTGAACAGACAGGCGTGGTGCCAGTTGCCTGGAAGATCTCCATTCCCATGGTGAAGACGGACAAGACTCACCCACCACAAACGTTCCAGACAGAGCTCCAGGTGTGTGCAAGGATCCTGCCCACAGTCGGCACGGGCGGACACAGGGCTGGTGGGCTCTTGGGAAAACAAGAGTCTGATTTTTAGCATTTGTTGATTTCTCTGCTGTAAAATACTCCCACCTGGTGGATTTCTAGTTACCAACACATTCCTGGAGATTTATCAATTGGCTCCTGTGGGCAGGTAGGAGCCAGCTCCTGCACACAAGTGAGAGATGCTCGGTATGAAATGAGCCCTTGGGGCTGGCGCTGTGGCGTAGCAGGTAAAGCCGCCGCCTGCAATGCCAGCATCCCATATGGGCGCAGGTTCGAGTCCCTGCTGCTCCACTTCTGATCCTGCTCTCTGCTATGGCCTGGGAAAGCAGTAGAAGATGGCCCAAGTCCTTAGGCCCCTGCACCCAAATGGGGGACCTGGAGGAGGCTCCTGGCTCCTGGGTTTGGATCAACACAGCTCTGGCCATTGAGGCCAACTGGGGAGTGAACCAGCAGATGGAAGACCTCCCTCTCTCTGCCTCCCCTTCTCTCTCTGTGTAACTCTGACTTTCAAATAAATAAATAAATCTAGGAAGAAAGGAAGGGAGGGAGGGAGGGAGGAAGAAATAAGCCCTAGGGGAGAGGCAGGCAGGGCCTTGCCTGCCATAGTGGGAAGCCATTGGGTGAGTTTGGGGAGGACCACTTCATCTGATCAGACTTGTGTTTTGAAAGATCCCTCTGGCTGCACTGCAGGCATCTCCCTGTATCTGCAGGGGATTGGTGCAAGTTCCTTATGTCATATGGCACTGTGTTTGCACAGAGCCTAAGCACAACACCCAGCCCCGCATCCTTCCTGGATTACTCATAATGCCTACTACAGCGTCAATGCTGTCTTGGTAGAGATACCGTATTGTTTCAAGAATAATGACAAGAGAATGTACGTGCTCAGGGCAGGTGCAATTAAAAACAATATTTTCTCTATCCCAATTTGGTTCAGCCTGCAGCTGTGGAACCCATGGGTACTGAGAGCCAATGTATTGAGAACAGACTGGGAAGGGTACCACCCATGCGGTAGACCAGACAGAAGGCAGCAGCAGGTGTCCAGGGGAGGTTTCCCAGGCTTCGCCCCAGACACGTGCAGACCCGGCTGGGCTGAAATTGTTGCTGGCACAGGAACAGGCAGGTACAGCACGAGCAGGCCCCTGTTTCTCTCTGCCCCCACCC